GAGCTGGGTGAGGAGCCCACTGTCTGAAGCGCACCGTGGGCGTCACCGGGCTGAAACCATGAAATTGGACCGTTCCCAGGGTCACCCACCCGTGTCCTCTGCAACGCTCCTGCCGCTGGGACTCCGCGCGGCGGACGGACCGCGCACGGGCCCCTCTCAGGTCGCGTTGCTCTGCCAGGGACTGGAGAGAGGCAGGCATTACGAGGGGCTATTCATTTTTATGCAAAGAGGAAAAATGACCTTATTATTAGAAACTGTGATCCCTTTTTAAATGAGGGGGAGATGACTTGCTTTTTTCACTCAATAAAAACAGTCAAAATCATTTATTAACCAGCTGGTGGCAGTGTTTTCATTAAAAAAAAGATAAAGTGATATTATGTACACTCTGCTTCTAATTTATTTCATTAAATGTTAAGAGGATGGATTTTAGCTCCTTCTCACCAAGATGCCTAAAGCTCCAGCGAAGCGATGGGAAAGCCGGGCTTTTGACCCCCCTGAGTAAGTTTCTGCCACCAGGAAATCACACAAAATAGACGAGGCAACCTTAAAACGTTTGCCGTCTCTGCTACGGCCAGCCCCTCCCCCGGAGTTTACACAAACAGGCGGCGGGACTGACAGACGCCTGACTGTGCTGCCGCTGAGGGGCTTAGCAGTCGGCGTGAGCTGTGGGCCGAGGCTCTTCGGTTTGGCCGGTTAAACCTGCCTCTCTCCTGTGGTCTGAGCCTTGCGTTCAGCTTCCTGCTCTAAAATTATCCCTCGGTTCTCCTCCCCATCTGTTCCCCGCACACAGCACCACTGGGTCACGCGTCACGGACGCGCCCAGCGCCGGCCGTTACTCCCGTAAGGGCGTCGGGGACGGCAGCCGGTCGGTGCCTGCATTCGAATCCCATCAGGCCAGAGAGGATGGCCAACCAGGCCCGGGAATAACGTGTCCTCCTGCTCGAAGGCGCCACAATCTCCCCAGCCTTGACCTCTCCACCCGGGAACTGGATCCCGCACCTTCTCCACGGGACTGAGTCCACCCGCCCGT